GAACTTTTTCAGGCTGTACTAACTTATAGCGCTCGGTAAGTAAGTACTTAAAGAAATTAAGTGCTTATAACTTAGAAAGTATACGGTTTCGAACGCAGCCCGACAACATCTCGCTTTGACATCTGGCGTGGTTCTGTGTGATTTGGACAACTTCAAGTTATGCCTCCTTGTTCAAGTTACGCCCCCTTCAAGTTATGCCCCTCTCTTGCAGTCCGCAGACAGACCCTTCTCCTTTTTTTCCCCACATAAGCACGACCGGAAGGGGCGGAAGCGGTCGACTGTGGCATAATAAAAGCTCCGCTGCTTTCGAGCCGTGTGTCACGCTCGTTCAACGGCCTCGTTTCACTTCGACGGCTTTCAGCCTCACCCTGCTTCATTCTGCTACGTTAACAAATCATTAGCTCATCCATGAACATGATTTCTGCCCGAGTCCCGTCGGATTGCATCGGCTGTGGGGATGAAGACCACAACTCCCATGATTCCACACTCAGTCACAGCTTCATCAAACTAAGCCTTTGTCTCTTTGTTTGTTTTGAATACGCGCCCTCTAGCGGTGAAAATTACATATTGTGCCTTTGACAGGGATTTATGAGAATTATTGAACAAATATGTACCTATTAAATATATAGGGATATAGTGTTTACAGAAGCACTGTGTGTTTCATGGGAAGTAAAAGGGAGATTCTCCTTTGGCTGATGATGAGTCGCTTGCTTTGCATGAAATTTGAACTCAACATATAAACAGACCCATCACAAATGAATAAAGCTTTCACTTGACCAGCAGATGGCGCCACAACGCACTCCTCATAAACAACCCTTTTCCCATAAACTAACATGCCAGGTCGTCAAGACAACAAACATAGCCTATGAAACATGTGCTATTAAATGATTTATTGCTTCTGTAATTGTCTTGAGTGACACCATGAATACGAGCGGCTGAGCTCATATCGATCACTGTATTTCCAGCGTGTGACTCACTGATGACGTCCCCCCAGCTTCGCTCTTTAATTTGACTACAGCCCCAGTTTCACTTCAGTGTTGACAGCGGCGCGTGGCGAGCTAGTCGCTTTTTTATTTTAGATGACTTTTTGTAACAAACGGGAAACTTTTAGACTTTGTGACCACGGATGAACCATGGCTACAATAACGTGTCGAGTGCAATACCTGGAGGACTCGGACCCATTCGTGTGCTCAAATTTCCCCGAGCCTCGCAGACCTCTGCAGTATGACCTCAACGAGCATTTGCTGTTGAACGAACAGATCGCCGGTA